GGCGCCGCCTGGCGGCCACTTCGGTAAACTGTCTGGCTCAGCACCTGGCGGCTACTTCAGTGAGCTGTCTGGCTCAGCAGCACCTGAGTCTCTCTGAGTGGTGTCTCAATTTTTAAACTGGTCAGGCATTATACATATTTACACACACACACACACACATCCACATTACAACTTCATAAGTATTCAAATGAAAATTATACGGCTTTTTGTAAATAAACATAGCTATTTAAAAAATATTGTATGAACTGGTCTTTATTATTTTTTTTAAATAAGATTTTTGCTATAGGGCACAGATGCTTGCCAGAGAGACAGAAAGTGAGAAATCACTCCCCAGGGGGGATGGCCACACTGCAATCCCTCCTCCATTCTCCTACCAGGATTTTGGCGCATGCACATGGATGTGGCATGAGTTTCAAACTGTCCGTCGATACTCAAACTGCGGTCGGCCGCGTGGGAATCCAGCGACATAACCATAATGCCATCTGCTGGTCCCCCAAACTGGTCTTCTAATAACAATGTGATTGGAGATTTGTCACCTCCCCGAAGCTGATTAATCTGATAGCAAGAAGACTGTCATGTGATGCAGGAACACGGGGTGCAGGTGATCAGCCCAGCACTTACAGCAGGGCAAAGGGTCTGGTCCCACGCTCAGAAAAATTAGAGGTGAAACTGAGCAGGACCCTCCTAAGAGCGGTAAGTCCTGGTTAGAGTGTATTTTCTAAGGTTCTTGGATTAAAAGATCCATTCACATTGTAATGGCCCAGAGTAAGGGGTAAGACTTTGGTTATGATAATGAAACAACATAGACCATGAATGAGGGCCATTTGACCTCTAAAACTCTCACTCAAAGGAAAGGTAAAGTTTTCATTTCAGTCTGTAAGACATTTTGTAGGACAGAAACTGCTGCGCGAGCTCAAAGACACCAGGCTGAATGGCTCCAGACACCTGAGCAGAAATTTGATTACCTAAGGCCTCACCAAGCAAGAAGGCTCAGAACATGAAGGTCCCGGGAAATGGGCTGCCGAGAACTGGGGCAAGGGGTTTGTATCTGGGGCACAGGGGCCTCTTTAGGCTTGTTTTCAGGTGGGGCTCGCCTTGCACTCCCCTGCTGGGAGCACAAGCTGGACGGGCCCAGTAATTTTTCTCTGAAAGGGCTGGGATTTTTTGTCTAGAGGCTGTGGGCCATAAAAGCCATGATCTTACCTTCTTCCCAGAACGTGGTGGTGGGGCCTGGAAAAAGCCTTTGTTTTAGGTCTGCCTGGTCCTGCCTAGGTCAGTCACCAGCCTCAACTGCAAGAGGTCGCTCAGCTCTCTCCCAGCGGGAGCTGCTCTGTCTCCGTCTCCAGACATTTTGGGCTGTACCCTAACTATATTTTTAGGGCCCTTGTCTCCTATGTCAATGTACTTTTAAAATTATAACCCTGGTTCCTCATAGGAATTTAACAAATCGTTGTGAATTTAAAACAACTATTGTTTTTCTCGAATCTCAACTTTATTTTTAATTGCCAGAGTGTGTATGTGCTTGCCAGAGAGAGGTGGAGAGACAGAGAGAGGAGAGAGACAGAGAACATCTCCCCGTGGACACGGTCACGCTGCTGTCGCTTCTCCACTTCCGTTGGCGTTTGGGCACACACGTGCCTGGTGTGTTTCGAGCTGCCAGGGAGATACTGCCCATGTGAGATCTGGCTCCCTTAACTCCTGTTCTACCGGAACAGCCTTGCTGATGTGCAGCATTTTAAAGGGTTTTCGGTCAACTGATGCCAGTTTGCAGAGTATGGGAAAAGAACCTGTCCCGCTGTGGGATCTGTAACCAGAGGGCGTGGAGGCGACTCTTTCTTCAGTGACCAGGGCCAGGAAAATTCAGACAGAAACTGAGTAATTATCTGACAGAATCATCTTAAAAGGGATACCATCATGGACGAGGGAGGGGCGGGTTCTAGAAGATTTCTAATCCTGAGATTTTAAAACCATAAAATAGAGGCCAGCAGATGGCATAATGGTTACATTGCTGGACTCCCATGTAGTTGACTGCGGTTTGAGTCCCACACCCAGCAGTGTAAAACTCATGTTGGGTGCATGTACATGTTGTAAAACTCATGTTGGGTGCATGTACATGTGTGCCCAAAGTCCCGTGAGGAGGATAGAGAAGGGACTGCAGTATGGGCATCATCCCTGGAGGATGAGTTCTCTCTCTCTGTTTCTCTTACTCTCCAGAGAACTCCTATACCCTATGGAAAAATAAATGAATAAATAAATAAAACAGAAGCTCTGTTAAGTTGATAATATGCACCTGCTCATGTTGCGCTCAGGAGCCTGTCTCCCTGGCCACACCCTCTTCCTTGACCTTCTCTGCAGCTTCCCTCGGCCCCTCCCCAAGGTGGGCTGTGTATACTCCCTCTGAAGGGAGAGCACCTGCTTGGCCCCAGGTCTGTCATCTTGGCCTGCTGCCCTTCCGCCAGTACTCGGGGGCAGTTTGGGACTCGAACATGTGCTCTGGGGCTTCAGCCCAGCTCCCTGTACAGAATTCCACCTCCTTGGCCTGCTCGGTTCCCACCTCCCACACACATCTGCTGCTTCCTGAATTCTGGCCGCCTTCATCCCTTTTCTTCTTTTCACTTACTCGAGTCAGGAGCATTCGAATGAGCACTAACAGTAAGCCAGGTCCTGCATGTGCTGCTGGGGTTTGGCCGTGAACTGTGCAGACAAACTCAGCCTTCTCAGAGCATCTGCTCCAGTGAGTCCGTATGAACACCAAACAGACCTCTCACCATGACCGAAGAAGCCAGCACTTCTTCAGACTGTAAACTCCCATGGGCTCACTGGCACCCCTGGAATAGGTAGGGAGGTGGCGGGCGGGTGGGTGGTGGGTAGGAAGAAAGCAGGTAGTTGGTAGAGAGGTAGGTCATGGGTGGACAGATAGATGCATGGACAAGGCTGTAGGCAGGTGGACATCCTCCTCGCGGGATTTTGGGCACACATGTACAGATGGCCGGTACAGTTGGGTGGATAGGCAGGTGATGACAGATGGATGGGGGGTGTGTGGATGCATGGGTGGATGCGCAGCTAGGTAGACAGACAGATAACGTACATCGCAGTTACTGGACCTCTGGCGAGCCCCGAAGCTGACTATGGCAAAGTCTTGGTCTTTCTTTTCTTCCTTAGGCTAAAGGTTACCTGAAGCTTTGGTTGTTAGGAAGCTGGCAGAAGACTCAATCAGGCAAATATTCCCTGAGAAAGGAGCATAGCTGTTTTGGTGAGAGAGAGAACTGCAGAGAAGTTTCTCTTGAACTGAAAGAATAGTTAAGTGGTCAGACGACTGAAGAAGGTACCTGGATACAGGGACGGTGGCAAGGAGGGAAGAACGGAGGTTGGGCTGTAGGAGTAAGAGTTAGGCCACGGCATGGGTGAAGGGAAATATGACCAACTCCGCCTGCGTGGCTGGAATGTGCTCTCGTTTCCATCAGCCTGAACTGGTGTTGAGCGGAACGAGCTGAAGGCAGTGCACACACTTCCGGGTGGCGTTGCTGGTGGGGATTAAGTCTGGCGGGAGCCACAGGTGCACAGATGGCCTCGTCACAGCTCATACTGTGACACCCCAATGCTTAGGAAAGCTTTCCTGTGGATTACACTGAAACTGTTCTGTTCAAATTAAATTCAAAATAATAAAATCAACCTAACAGGCGATCTTAAGATGTCCCTTTCGAGGAGAATAACCTCTTTAAAATCGCCTTCCATGTTGTTGTCATTTCATAGAAAAAACTTAAAACCTTTATTTAACCAGACTTTTGGTTTTAATTACAGAGCCACATGCAGTTGTAAGAAATCACACAGCGTGATTCCTGAAACCTCCACTGAGTTTTCCCCAGCTGGTAACATCCTGAGACCAGGGCACTGACGGGACATGTACTGACTGTGTTTAGATGTTCCTGTCAACTGACACATTCACATGCGTGTGTGTGTGTGTCCATGTGCTCTATACAATTCTACCACGTGTCCACATGTGTTGGTTTGGGTATTCATCACCAAAGTCAATGAACGGCACAGTTTTATCATCACAAAGACCCTACGCTCATCTTCCTTTAGTTACTCCCATCCTTAAACTCCAATAACGACTAATATGCTCTTTGTCTTCATAATTTTGTCATTTCATAGTATTGTGTAAATAGAGCTATGCAGGCTGCAACATTTTGGAGTTGGCTTTTCCACTCATCGTCACTCACCTGGGGTTCATGTTGGTTGTTACATATATCAACACAGTTCACTTCTAGTACTGAATAGTTTACCATCTCGAGAACGGATGTCTTACGTCATCAGCAAAATCATGAAATTTTTCTGTTTTTCTGTACAGAAGTGCATCATGACTTTCCCAGCAGCCCAGCAGGACGATTTGTTTACCCTTCCACTGATGGAAAGACACTGTTGTGTCTAGTTTGTGTTACGGCACCTGGAGGTTCTGGGACATGAGTGTTTTTGCATGAGCATGTTTATTGCTCCTGGATGTACGCCAGAGTGATTGCAGGGCTGCATAATAATTGCACGTGAGTTTTATAAGGAACTACCTACCTGTTTTCCAGAATGACTAACATTTTACATTCCCACCAGCATATGTGAGTGGTCCAGTTTCTCCACATCATCACTGATTTTTTATTTAGCTATTCTGTTCTTAGTAATATCTTGTTAATTAGTAACAGGTTCTTAGTAATATCTTAGGTTCTTGGTAATATCTTAGGTTCTTGGTAATATCTTAGGTTCTTGGTAATATCTTAGATTCTTAGTAATATTTTGCTGTGCTTTTATAACAGTTATTTTTATTTAGTCTTATTATTATTATTTAATTTGAGAGACAGAGAGGGAGACAGAG